GCTGTAGCTATATAGGCAGCTCTGTGGAAATAACCCAGAGTGACCAAAGATGTGAGACTGAATGAAACTGTTGCAGAAACAAAGATTTTAATTTTTTCTTAGATGAAAAAGAACTTGGTTTTAAGTTGTCCTCAAGCTGTTGCATAGGATAAGTATAGAATCGTGTAAGAAATAAATGTTTTAATATTGTATTTTGAAGTTTCGAGTTATGAGAAGGACAACTACTATTTTAGAAAATACAGCAGAAACATTTTCTAGAAATAAAGAGGATGCTAGGGAAACGAAAGACTTTGGTGAGGTTTATTGCAAGGAACAATTCTAACTGCTAACAAACATAAAAATGGTGAAGAGCTTGATTTTCTTAAAGGATAGATTAAATAGAGGAAGGTTAAGGGTGGGGGGAGAAACTGGTAAAATAACACAGAATAGAAATGTGGGTGTTTGTTACCTGGAAGTTGGCAAACAGGACACCACTAACACAGGCTGCAGGGAAACAGAACAAAAAATCCTAACAGTCTTGTTAACTGGATTTTCTGCCTAGGTGTAAATTTGGGTGCTTTTTAGCAAAATGGAAGAAACAAGGAAAGCTGAACATTAAAAAAAGGCAAGGGGGGAAAGTAAGTGTGTAGATATAAAAGAATAAGCAGTACTGAAGTTTATGGATCTCATGACTGTAACAGACACAACATTGTTTTTCAAGACGGTAAGCAGTGTATTAGCTTGTAACTTCTGTGTTAGCAAATAATGTGGCTTTTGATTCGGAACTGATTACTTGAAGTTGGAGAGAAGAGCATTATAAGCATTTAAAGGGATATATTTAAATAGATGGAATTTAGAGCAATTGCAGTCTGTGCAGTGGAATCAAGGACAGAGCACTGAAAGATTTCCAGAGGAAAGGAGGTAGTTGGTGTATGCTTCTATTTCTCCGCTTCTGAGAATGGAAAGTTTTTGAGAATAAATTCCAAATATATGGTTACTAAAGGTTTTGGTTAACAGTGTAACTGTTAGGATCCAAAAATGTATCAGGAACTAAAATTAGAATAAAGCTGTTATAAATATTTTCTCTCCCTTTAACATTTGTCCTGGGAACAGAACTTAAGAAGGATATCCATGTGGTCTACTAAAAGTTGTACTGGACCATTTAGTTCATGAAGGGTATTCTAATAATAGTATTAAACAATGAGAAACTGTAGTTTCTGTGAGTACTACTTGATTGACCTGCATGAGAAATTGGATGTGCAATTTTGTAGGAGGTAGATTATGAGTTTGAAAAAGATAATAAAACTACCTAGCAGCAGTTTTGGCTGCTTGGACATGAGCCAGCTGTACTATTCCTAAATCTGTTCAGGGTCAAGAATCGAGGGGGCTTGACCAATCCACAGCCCATCTTGTAAAACTACAGCCTGAAGCAAACACTTTAAAGAAGGCTTGACACTTTCTAAAGGTTATAACGAGTAAATAAACCATCAAATTACTCTTCTTTTATTGTTATGGTAGTCTTTTTTATAAAAACACTTAAATCCATGTAGTCCTAAGGCATCTAATAAAAAAAGAACACTTTTAAGGTTTTGTGGTTTTTTGATACCTCATCAAAGTTATATACAATATTATTCTCCTAAGTATAACAAAAATGTTTTTGTCTTATTAAACAGCTGGTGGAACTTCTAAAAAAAAAAAAAGTGCTTAACACAAGTTTTAAAAGCTTTCAATTCAAAGTGAGTAAACTATAAGTGTCCTTTAAACAAACTAAAAATGATGGATAAGGCTTATTGTTAGCAATTTCACATGAGAACATTTTTATCATGTAATTGTCATTCTCAGTTCAATTTATAAAAAATACACCAAACTAGATGAGTTTACGAAGAAGAGAGACAGTTATATGCATAGAAGCTGAAGAAATGCAGTAATCAGTGTGATTAGCTTGGATGTTTTCAACATATATACTTGAAAAATTAACTAGCATGTTATGAAAAAGCCTATTAGGACTCAATTGTGCAGGCACTTCAAGTATTCTGGGGGCATTTTTACTGTCCATTATGTTGATCTAAGTCCATGCTACACTCCTGCCGCGACACGTTACTGTTGCTTCTGTTGCATTGGTACAGATTCTTGGGTTCCCCAAGGCTCGATCTGATCCATGGCATAACTGGCCACCTCCTTCTCCCTGTTTAGTTGTGCACTGGATCAAAATTCTGGTTTGTCTCTGAAATACCCTTACATATGCTAGCACCTGTACAGGGGAGTGAGTGGTGGAAATAATGTAGTCTGGACTTAGGGAAGAATACTACTGCGGTGCATTTTGAGTAGTTTAGGAATAATTTACACGGCATGTTTAAGGATCAGATCTTATAAGCCTTACTTCTTACAATTTTGAACAAGGCTTTTGCTAATAACATATCATTTTAATAGCATTTGCTGCTTAATGGCATAAGTTACTTAAGATTACACTTCTATAAGAAGCTGTAAGTCAACCTCATTTGTTTTTATCATTCCAGGGAACTTAGGGTTTTAGGTATTTTCTTTCAGTTCTTATAGATTAGTGTCAGAAAACAAATTCATTGCAACTCCAAAGTACCATTTGTTAAAGCAGAACTGGGAAGCATTGATAATCTTTTCAATTCTCTGAATTGTCTTTTTTTTTAATTTTTGTTTTAACATAAGGCATATGAAAACTTCAGGTCTCTTCTCCATCTGTATTCCACTAGTATGTATCAGAGAAGCAAAAGTTCTCTGAGAGCCAGATTTTAATTTTAAATGTATGTTCAATATTTTATATGTAAAATTAATGTGAGTCTTGAGGCACATTTTTAGATCCCGCAACTCTTGAAATGCTTAGGAATAGCCTCCCATGGATAGAAGTGTGTGTTATTTCTGTCCACACATGTGTCTGTAAACTGTCTGTTAATCAAGCAAGTAGGTTTTGATCCTAAAACCTATAAAAGATGTCAATGTCAAAAACATATTTTAAATCACCTTAGGTCATATTTTGTTTTTTATATATATATATATAAAATATATATATATCTATCTCTCCACAGTGGGACTATGGATCAAACGTTAAACTAAGTGAGAAGGGGTTGCGAAATCTTCGTTTGAAACAGTTTTGCACAAATTGTTGAAGCGTTGTAAATATCCTTGTATCAAAAACTTGGAACCCTCATTTGTACTGGGTTTAGGGAATAATTACATTTTTTTTAAAATGCAGCATACTTTATTCTTTGTAGCCAAAGCATTTGCATCGGCTGCTTCACAGTGGAAGGAGGAAGACCTTCAGCTTGCTCTTTCACTGTTCAGAAAACTTATTACTTCATCCAGAGATCATTCTTTTTTCTCTCTCATGATAAGTAATAGTTGTTCATGGTATTGCAATTCAGTAGAATTTTACTTAAAACACGATATCAAGAGAATAATCTTTTTGAGGCCTGCTTTGAATGTAGTAATTTAATCTTACTAGCAAGATCCATAACCAGCTTTTTTTGAGTTGTCACTGTTTCCCTGAGGATTATAGGCACTTCTTTTGCAGTAGTCTGGGCTGTTGAGGTGTGAGTCATTTCAAGAGTGCTTATTTTTTTGTCAATTTAGAATGCAGGTTTTAAACCGGAGTAGGAAAGTTGAACTCAAAAAAGCATAAAGGTGCATATAAAATATCAATTTGCAGTAATTCAGAGAACACAGTTCAGGCATTGGGAGTACGCTTTTACCCTCGCATAGTCAGTTTGGCCCTTGTTGGAGTGTGTCCAACATGAGACCTCCATAAATGTTACTAGTGCACCAGTTCATCAAGGAGAAGTCAACCTTACCTTAATGTGGTCACCTTTTCAAGGTGATTATCACTGTGCAGAGAAAAGGCAGGAAATTAGCCTTCTGAAGCTCAGAACAACTCATTTTGACTATATGCAATAACAGGACAGCAGTGAATTGCTTATGATATACATCAAAAGCCTAACTACTGTTCTTGCAAGAAGTCATGAATCTTTGATAGGGGAACCTGTTGTTCCTTTGTTTTTGTAAAGGAAGGCCAGTGCTCATGACAATTTGGCTCAAAAGGGAAGCTGATTCCAGTTAGGAAACTTTGACTTTAATACCAGAATATTTCAGGAAAATTCCCATGAATTTTTAGCAATCTGTGATTATCATCAGGTAAGTCTCATTTATTATCACAGTAATAGTTTGATTCTTGACAGAGTGCTTCTGCAAGAACAGGAGATGTAATGCACCTTCCTGTTACTAGTCTGTCTTCTGGACTGTGAAGGAAACTTTAGACTTCTCAGATTTTCAGGTAGCTCATCTTATCAAAAATAGCTGTTGATTGTCCTTCTGTTCAACTTCTTACTCTCATCTGGTAGGTCAGGAGGCTTCTTGGCACAGAAGGTTATGACAAATATTTAACTTTTTCCTAATAACAGAAGTACTTGCTGACACAAACTTTCAGTTGTCCTGAGAGATGTCAAAAAGAATAAAGATTCATGTGCTTTGAGTTGTATAATTAAGATGTCCCAAAGATTCTGACTCATTAACCGTGATTATCTGTATCACGGACTAACAGTTGATTCTTGAAGCACTTACTGCAGCTTGCTTCATCACAGTATTTTGACTTGGTTCATCAGAATATTCAGTCATTTTCCAACTGTGAAGTCAAGTCTGGTTTATTCCCTTTGAGTGTGGTTTTGTTGTAAGATGCAGAAGAGAATATATATGAAGTGGGAACTGTTCCTGCTAATTAAAAGAGCTATAATTCTAGCTCCTGATCTTCTGCTATGCATTTCAATCTAAGTTATTTATTCTGCAAATTTTCTGACCAAAACAGCTGAACTACTCTGCTATTTTACCATATACAGACATCTTTTGTTTCCTTTTTTGCTGTGCAGTGTGTAGGCATATATTGTTCTGTGTACCAAACAGTAAAGGAAGAAGAGTATGAATACACAAATTATGTTGGTGTTTGATTTGCAGGTACTGTCTTATGTAAATTTTTTAAATTTTTCTTTTATTTAAACTAGGAAACAGAGATTAATTATGAAGATCAAATAAGTAAAATTGTTGTGGAGAAACAGGAACTTGAATGGCAGAAGGTAACTTTCCTACATGGTTTGTGTGTTTTAACTGTAGGGATTTAATTTTATTGTAATATTAATATGGATTATGATTTGGTACAATTCCCCTTTTTAAGGCTATTGTCATTTCTAATAGTAGAATGTGGTAGCCAATTGTTTACTGTCTAGTCATGAACTTCTGTAGTTTTTATATTGATTTGGAATGCACTCAACCTAGAAATCTGATTAACAAAAGAGTACCATCATATTTGGCATGACTGGAAATCTTTAGTCAAAATGGATGTAAATATCGAAGCGGTAAGACATTTAGCTTAACGCGAGGCATGTTGACATGTTAGCATGGGGGAAGCTATACAGCAGCTTCTCTGTATTATGCTTGGCTTTGGCAAGTGCAAGTACCAGTGCAGTTGTACAAACCACTTCACTAGCAATGTTTTGGGGATGAGAATTTTTCCAAAAAATTGTTTTAAACAGAAACTTATGTTAGACATACTCAAAAGTGGTTTGCAAGCTTTTAAATGCTTTAAAATGAAGTTTTGAGTAAAATAAGTCTAACATTCTTCTTAGGGTTAGGGCTCTTGAGGTTATGCTTTCATAGGAAATCCATTCCCTTCTCTAATACAATCAAACCTATGACCCCTGTCACTAGGTCACAAGATAAAAGGCTTCACTCTGTATATTTTACGATCACAGAAAAAACAATAATTTCAGCTCTATCCTTGATCTTGAATATTTAACATCTTTGTAGTAAAGGAAGACTATTTCATCTTGGAGTTCATCCTAACCATCTTAAATTAATAATCCTAACTATGTGCTTTTTTCCTGAAAGATATATATGTGCACACAGAAACAGGAAACATTTTATATTTGTAAAAGCAACGGTGCTTGCAATTTGTAACCCTTCTTTGCTTTTCTTAACCTGGCATTGCAGTTCTTAATAATCTGGGTTCGAAAGGGATGATTTCCATTCCTTCTGGGACCTTAACAGCAATTTAAGATGGGACTTACAGGAAGTTAGGTGCACTCTCTCTTTCTCCTTACTTTGCATTTACCATTGGCACATAGCAAACCTAATGTAAACAATGAGTTGTAGATTTTAGGAACTTGATGTGAGCACATATGTAGAGCTCTGGAACTTCAAAGGAAGAAGCTAATATGAGCTTTCAATTCTGGAGATTCAAGTAAGATGCAAATGCGAAGCATGGCATTTAAATTGAATTTGTGACCTGATGGTTTCTGAATGAAGAATCATATTGACCTCAATAGTAGTTCAGTAAGTAGACAGCTTCCCCTCGCTTATCAAAGGTTCTGTTATTTTTTTTTTCCTTCAGAGATATCCCTTTCAGTTAACATTTCTGTGATTCAGTATATATTTTATTTTACCTTAAATTTAGCAAACTAGTTTAAAATAAAGACATGACTTGAGCTAAGTTTCTGGTTTAATATTACAATTTTAAAGCAAATCTTTGTCTAACTCTTATGAATACTGTTGCTGCTCTTAGAAAAAAAAATACGCTAGAGTAGGGAAAACAGAATAACTGGAGAAAATATGCCTTTAAATCTAGTGAGTATACTCCGTATACTTATTGTAACATCACAATATCATAAGTGATTTTTAAGTAGTAACATTATTCTTTACTCTCCCTGCACCCATGGTATGTATGGAAAAGTTATTCCAAAACTGAATCTCTGATATATAATCACTTTTATTAAATCATCTCAGCTGTGAGGCCTGTTAGGAAATGAATATTTGTAGAAACTTCCCAGTCTCTTTTTTTAGAGTAAAATACATCACTTGAATATACAGTACAAGGAAGACTGTGGTATTCCCTCAGTAACGTGGTATTACCTCAGTAATGCTTTTTTGCATTTATCAATTACATCAATCACAAAACCATGTAAATGATGACTGAAGGTCCAAACTTATATCTACATAAATTAGTACATAATATTGGCTTGAAATCCTATAATCTAAAGAAGTGTCATCTTAATTTGACCGTACTGTGGATATAAAATATTATTCCTGTGGTGAGTAGGAATACTCCACTGGGAATAGTTGATTTGCTGTCACTCCAGTACTATTTCTTGTCTCTGTAGCATACATGGTATGCCCTTTTCCTACCAGAAAACCTGTGTCTTTGAACACAGTTCTAACTGACAACTTGAGGGAAACATTTCTCAAGATTTTTGTTTTCACATTTTTTAATATCACTTCATGTAGTATGTATTGTTTGTTAGATGCAAATCAAACGATTCTCTATGAATCTTACAGGGAATTAATGAGTATGTACATGAATATAAAATACCTTATCTCCACAGATTCTTGTCTTGTATCAAAAGGCAACAGCTCTCCATTGTGGAACTTGAAAGCAACACCAATTTGCTGGGGAAAGTTGCAGTTTTGGAATGGGCTTTATGTCTGAAAAACTCAATTTCTCAATTAAGACAGGAGAATAAATTAGACTTCTTGTGTGTGAAACAAATGATCAATTTATTTTCTCCCAGTCCTTTTTAATAGTCTCTAATTTATATTTATTTCTGTGCAGTCATTAGTTAATTGTTTCCTACTTCACACTAAGTGAGGAAACACACTTTCTTAGCTAAACACTCATCTATATTTTGAGATGTTCAGGGACTGAGCCCCTTGAGTACCTTTACCTAATATTTTTTATTGTCTAGAACTTGACAATAACTGATCTTACAAACATATCTTCTATACTACTTCACCTTGATTGGGGGGGGACGGTTTCCTATCGTGTATGTGATGCTTAAAGATGTTAAAGATTTCCATCTTGCAGAGTGTCGTATTAGTCTGAGATTATGATATGAAATAATAACAAAATTAAAAATAATAGTACATCTTTTAACTCATTTTCTTGTTTTTATGGATGAAAGTAAAGCCAGACAGTAGGATGGTAAAAATCTTACAGTACCACCTTATGCTTAGTCTTTTCTACCCTCCTTCAGCTCTTTCATGCAGTTTGTTAAATGACTAAAATTTAAGTAAAAACACAATAACAGATTGTTATATTTTTAATGGGTTTATATTTTTTTAAGGGAGATTAAAATTAAATTCTATTATAACTCCCTGGAACTATGTCAAGATGCTGTCTTAAGATGGCAATGGGTGTTGGATTGCTTCTGCAGGTTGATAGGATGGGTAAGAGTTGCTTGTAGAAGTCCTAACAACAAAAAATCTGAATTCCAGAGGTGGGAATTGCTACCTGTTATGAATTAAAGAGAAGCCCTTGCCAAAAAAATTATTACTAGTTAACAAATGTCTCTTTTTATTCTTCAGGTTTTGTTTTAATCAATCATGTCTTTCTAAAAATATTTAACAAGGAATCAGTTTTTTCTTGAAATACTGTATGAATGGTTTGCTGTAAGATAGTATCTAAAACACACTATTTTGCATGAGCAGGAAACTCTGCAGCATCAGACGGACACATTGCACCAACAAAACAAAGAAGCTATGGCAGTTTTCAAAAAACAGGTAGCAAAATAGCTATTTTTGTCTAGCTTTGACAATAAGATCTTAAAATGTGGTGGCATAATAGCAAGTTATCAGTTGGTATTAAAATATTTTCTGTTGCATAGAAAATGATAGAATATGCAGCTCAAAGAAATCAAGTCTTTTTCTTTCTTCCAGACACAGTATAATGCCTGTATTTTGACAGTTCTTCCCATTAAACCACTCTTGCTGGGACTTTTCTGTTTTATTTTTCCAAAAATTCCTAGAGAAGATAATGCTTTTTTTGATTTGTATTTTCTGTTTTTTTCCCTCTAAGTTGACATGTCCTCTGTAAGATTGGATTCATAAACCATGGTAAAAGATCTGCCACATAACTTACTCTGTTCAGCATTTGAAAGTGTGTTTCAGTCTTTCAAATCGGGGTTGTGTTTTTTTTTCTTCTGCATAATATGTAATCAACAAATACGCGTGCGGAGAGAACTTGCAGAGAACAGTCATAGGAACTGAAACTGGTGCACATGGTGATGGAGAATTTATCAATAATGCTGCATCATAATTCTATCACACAAAAAAAGAAATCAACAAGCAAATAGGTTTTTCTTTCTTGCAAAAATAATTTGTGATTCACAAGCTTGCTGCTTGTGATTCTGTAGTTAAGTTAAATAAAAAAAACCAGAAAGTACACTATGCAGGGTAATATAACTGCGTTTTCTTGTCAAGTTGCGTGAATAAAATTAATCCCATGTGCTGTATTGATTTGTTGTTTCCTTTTTATTTTTTTTATGACGCTAACAATCAAGTTACAGGCAAAGATGTTTGCCATGGAAGAAGAAAAGGTACTGTATGTTACTATGTTAATTATTTGTTATTTGTCATCCAGTGAAGCACGTAGGCAAATGATAATGCCATATAACTTACCAAACATGTTCTAAGTATAAACTACGTATATTACAATTAAATTATTTTTCTTGCTATGGCCTTTGCAAAAGAAATTTCTTTATAACCTTTGTTACATTTGTTTTTTTATTTATAGCCTATAGGACTTTAATTACTAGTGAAATGTCACTTTAAAATCTGCTTATGCTAAAAATCAATTGGGGAAAAAGTGTTCTTTGATAGTTCAGTATTGAAACTATACAAAATTACTTCATTTTGGGGGTTTGGGACAAATTGTCATAAGCCTTTTCCATGTACTAGTGAAAAATAACAATTCTAACTGGTTTAGTAAAACTGGACTTTAATAGGGCTTTTATTGATTTACCTGAGCTGACTTCCTAAGGAACTTGAACACAACTGAAGTAAGATATACTTAAGCTTAATACTTTAAGTTTACTACTTAAAATACTGGGATTTTTCTGAACTACATGAGTTTTTATACCAAGCTGAGTGCCTGCTTCCTCTTCTAAATAAAGCCTTTGCAAATGGTATACTAGGAGCCTGTTTGAAACAGTGAAGCCAATGAATGTCTGAATGTGGATTCTATTGTTTCACTTAAATTTCCCCGTGATTAAGATTTGATGAGTATCCTATATGTTTCATAAGAACTTGCACAGAAATTTGTGAGCAGGTGACATTAGTTTGAAAGTGTATCTAAGTAAACTTTATTTGCTACATTTATATTATCTGGTTATTTTCTGTATTTGTATTGTATTTGGAGTTTTTTCTTGTTAAGACATCCTTTTTGTCCACACATACCTATGTAGGAGTCACTGATTGGTATTTTCAGTGACAGCTACTTTTTCAGAATTAAATTATGTGATGATTTTTTTTTTCTCTAAATATTTCCATTTAATTGAATAGTACTTGCAGTATGTTATACCAAAATAACTGAAGGAATAAATTAAGCTCTAATATGTCAGGACAGAGTTTAAATACAAAGACCAATTTTTTCTCCAATTTACATTGTGTGTACTTTTACTGATCAAGGTGGTTTCAGGAAATTGCACAGCCAGCACTATGTTAGAAATGAATGGAACACGCAGTGGTGATTGAATGGATGTATTTGTTTTCTCTGGCATATTCTCCAATATCTAGATTCTGCTCTCCATTGTATTGATTGCCCAAGATTCTCACCTGATTTAATGCCACTGAAGTCCTTTGACTTTGTTAACATGCATATATATATAAAAATATAAAATGTGCTTACATGTATTTAGTAATTCTAGTGATAGCAGATTACAGTTCAGTCTTTGCTAATTGGAAAAGTTGAGGAAGTTGTTTCTGCGAAGATCCTGCTACAGTGGATAAAAAAATGGAATTTACCTGATGCTTTCTCTGTTGTTTAGTATATTTGTTCTAAACTAAAGTAACTTATTAATTCTGCCTTTGTCAGGCTTGTCTCTCCCAGAACAGAAAACTTTTAAAATTTACTGGCTAGTCATAAGTGGTGAAAATACACTTTTCTGTTTTCATTTGGTTTTTATAGCAATATGTATGTACGTTTTAAAATTATTTAGCTAATTTTTCACCTGTTTTCATCAATGAATTGCTCTGTCATAGTGGAGTAGTACTTTATTTTTGTAACATTCTTGTTGATAAACAAATGCATGTATTCTGCCCAAATCCTGAAGTACAGTTTTTGTTGAAAGGGAAGTTACCAACTTGCTGTGGAAGCAAAAGAAAAGGAAATTGATGGACTGAAAGAAGCATTAAAAGCATTACAGGTAAATTATTATTTTTGTTAAATAACTTCCCTTGGTATGCAAGTATTTATGTTTTTTCACTGGTAAGAAAACAGTTGTTAAGAGGGTCTTTAAGGCTTTCTCATTTAATCTTTCTAGTACATGTACACCTCACTTTCTAACGCTTAGTCTTCCGTGTCAAGACTAAGTTAGCCTTCCAGCTGAAGTTCTTTTCCTCCAGAAGAACTGCAGACTTAATAAAGTGTCCAAATAGTGTGTGAAATGTGTTTCCTTCTCATTTCCGTAGTCTTCCTCTTTCTTTTTATTCTTGTCGTCTTACTTCTCACCTGTCTGGAAACTGTGGGTTTGCACTCCTAAAGAGAAACAAGTATTCACACTTGGACTTCCAACTCGCAGTGCTACCTGTGTTTTTTATGATTTTCCTTTGTTTCACTAGGAGGTTTCTGTATTTACCACTTAACCCATGGCTTTCCAATGCCTGTTTGTCAGTAGAAGTAAAATTGTCAGATAAACGCACGATTTACTCTGGTGCTGCTTCACGTTATTTCTGTCTTGTATTTTATATTATTACATGGTGTTGGAGCACTTGTGTCTGTGATTCAGTTATGTGAAATAAAGGAAGACATAGGGACATAGCTAGTATTTGGTTTCCTTTTAAAGACCAAGAAGGCAGATATGTTCAAAATAAATTAAAAGAATAGGACTCAACACAGGGAGGATTAACATTGTAATGCAGTGCCAGATTTCAAGTATTGCCAGGAACTAATTATTTTCTACCCAAAACTGCATAGAATAATAGTTATATTGAAAACAAAATGGTTATAATGGATTATTACCCATGATTTTGCAACATGTTTGGTTCTTATAAACATTCTCATATAATGGGATGCATTTACTTGGTATCAGACTGTTTGTTTAATCGTTTTGTTAACACTGAAGGTATTTTAGGAGCAAAAGACATTTACTCCCATGGTTGGCCTTCTGTGCAAAAGCTGTAAGGATTTTGTTGCCTTGTTCAAACCGTGGCATAGCACAGATGATGCAGAATATCCCTCCACAGTCTGCTGAACATAATATGTGGACAGCAAGAGTAATGAAAGATTCCTCTGGCCTTACTTTTGTAAGATAAAACAGAAATTTCCAAAAAAGCCTAAGATTAAACGTTTAATGTTCACAGATCAAACATTTGTGTAACAGTATAGTTCAAATCTAGGAAATTCTGCTGTGGCTTGAGGAAGCAGGAGGTCACAATGAACTTGTGGACCCAGCAAAATTGTTTGGAAATCAGCTTAAAACAAGAGTGAGAAATTTCTAATTAGGTTCTGTAGTCCTCTCTATCCAGAGAGTCAGAATTCTACCTTAAAATTATTGTTCTCTAGGCTTAGTTTTTCTAGAAGTAATATTTTCTGTATAAGATTTACACATACTGGGTTCTTTGACATTTCTTTTTTTTTTTTTCCTTTCCCCCCCTAGATATTGTCAGTTTCTTTAAACATTCTAAGAGATATAGAGACTAAAGGTCTTGTGATCTTAAGTATTATGCAAGTCAAAAATCTCTGTCAAAATTATATGACATATGAAAAATAGTGTTAATGACTTCAAATGTCAGTCTTGCATTATTAAAGTATGCAAGATTGGTACAACATGTCATTGTGTGCCACCATTCAGAATATCTACTAGAATGTTTTTCCCAACACGGAACACACTTATATTGCTCTAGGACTTGAGGGAATACTTTCATTTCTGTCTCTGTTGTCTTCTCTGTTTATTTCTAAGAGTCTTGTTTACAGACTGTGGTCCATTTACACATAATTTTTATGATACCTGTCAGAAAACACAAGGATTTTTGAAAACTCCTACTAACAAATCAGTGTAAAGCATTTTTACATGACTTAAATATTGATGTGAAATCATGTAAAGTGAATCTAATAATAAAAGAAATAGTGTAATCATCAATTCAAAACCAGTATTATTGTATTCAATCGGCAATAAATGCAATTAAATCTTAGGTATGAGAATACCTAAATATGCACATTGTCATCAGAAAAAATGTAACTACAACTTAATGAATAGCTCTTTCTCATTTTACAGATTTCAAAATACACTTTACAAAAGAAACTGAGTGACATGGTAAGCAATTAATAAAAGTAAAAAAATAAGGAGCTGCTTTTATGAAAAGATAATGTCTCTTTAGAGTCTAATGCAAATACTAACCAACTCTAATACTAAAGTGATGTGTGATAGTTATTACAAATAACCAAACAAGGTGATATCAGCTTTGAATCTGAAAAACTTTCAATTATAATGTTTTTAGTTGTTTACAGTTTGATAGCTGCAGTTTTAGCGTATGGAATTTTTTCTCCCTGAATTAAAGTATAACTGGTACATTTGTTCTCTTTATAGATTAGAGTGAAGATTTTTTTTATAGACTGGGATTTGAATAATGTAATTATATTACCCTTAGAGGATCTGGCATATTTGTCTCAAAGAATTAATAGAGAATTCCAAGCAGTTCTTAGTTTTGTTTTTAAGAAAAACTGATAATGTTTTTCCTCTCACTTTTTTTCACTCCTCTTCTCAGAATTACTTCTTAACATCAGTTCCCCTAACAGTTTAGATTTCATCCAGTCCAGCTTACTCCCTTTGACACAGGGAATAAATTTATATAGAGTGACAGCATAGTCGCTCTGAACCCTGTTGTCTGTTTTAGGAAGTAAAAGAGTGAGCCGCAGAAACATTGCTAAGCTTGATTGAATAAATGCTGTGAAAATTCTGCTGCTGCTCAAGTGGAAAGAATAAAGATAATATTGTCAGACCATTACAAACTGTGATTTTAATTAAGAAGCTCAAAAAACTAGGGTCCAGTTTAGCTTTAAGTACCATGACATTTGTACTGAAAGTCATCTTCAACGCTACAGTGGTTTTACACAAAATATGGTGAAATTGAATAATGTGCCCTCTGACCTGGGAGATAAGGCTACAAGTTAAAGATCAAAGGCAGCATAAAATGTGTTTTGTCTTACTTCTTTTAACTTGTATTTATTCTTAAAATATGTCTAATCTAAAAATGTGTTTAAAATATACAAAATTATTGAACTTACATTTAGGTCATTTCACATATTACCTTTCTTTCATAATTTGCAAGCTCAGTCTTCCATATGAATGGGAATATTTCAATCACAACACTTTATCTATAAGCTGGAAATATATCTGTGCTGCTTAAATATCTTCCTTTTTTATGTTTATAAACTTTTCAGTAATTGATTATTTGAATATTTTGAAAACTTTGGGGTACTGTGACTTTGATACAGCGTATAGTCATTAAATGCTGTTGAGTGGGGGACAAGATATTAGAAATCCTCTTTTGCACATAGCACTAAAAATAACATGTATGGCTTGGCCATATTTATAGAAGATATGAAAAAATTAAAACAAAAAAAATGAGGTAAACAGAAGTTAATTCTCTCCTACAACCTTATGCAGTAGCGAGCTAATATGTACAGTTTTAGACTGGGTCAAATTCTACCAACTTTACTCCTTGAGTAGTTGCACTGAAATAGATGGTACATTCTAGGGATCAAAGTAGTAGTAGCCCTCTTAGTAGTAATAGACTCTCTTAATCAGTTGTCACTAATGGCAAAAAGTAAAATGGAAGAAATTCCAAACCATTCATTTATTTGAGACCCATTTCTATTTCCATTTTAAGTTGTTAAGGACAGATTAGATCATGCTGTGGCTAGTGTTTTGAAAGTAAGCAGATGTGCTGTTTAGTTTGTATCTGGCACCTTAGAAACCCTGCCAGTCAGTAAAGTAGCTTTTGTATGTGCTCGGGATTGAGCATGCCTTGTTGATGTAGCATTTTATTCTGGTTTTGTTCCTTTAATTCTGTTCTTTTAGTCTAGCATATGCAATGCTAATATATTGCATATATTTTAGCATTCTATCCAGTTAAGTTTATGTGAAAATTGTAGTGCTGATACAATTATGATATCTGCTAGAATTTTGAAATAGTGGAAGTTTTTCATATTGAAAGACTGTATAAAGACAAAGGAATAAAGGATTTATTTCTTCCATCTTTCCTTTGTTTCCACAGTAAGTGTTGATCGTTGTCTGTAGTGCTGTAGTCACTTTGCATCTCACTGCATGTGGATAGTAGCACCCATGCAATCAGGAGGCTACAGGATGATTACTACAAAGCTAGTTTTCTGATAGAGTAAGCTTGAGAGTGGCTTCTGTATTGTATTCTTTTTCTTGCTGCTGAACTAAAGAAATAACAGGAGGAGAATGACCTTGGTTAGGTCTTGGTTTCCTCCTCTATTAATTTCCTGGCAGGTGATACAATGTAGAATGCTAAAACTCTGAGTGTAGAATAAAAGCTGATGTAGAGCAGGGGAAAAAACCAAACCAACCTGAAGTAAACTTTTCATCTGTTCATGTGTTCGCTTGTTAGCTTGCATTGGCTGATCATGGTACATGTCGGAGAGAGTGAGCATTTAGAGTTATTTGTCTTCTGCAGTACCTAAATCTTAAATATCATGGTGCTAGAATATAAAAAAGAAGAATGAGATTAAGGATAGTGTTGGCTGGTTTAGAGACCAAATCTTGTTTGCAGTTTAGAAGAGCAAATTTGGAGTGCAAGATCTCTGTGTAGTCAATGGGGAGACATCACTGTCTACAAATTCAGTGCATCAATATTAATGAGTAAAGTGGATGGGGTGACTAACTCTGTGAATGACTGGTAATTAGTCTAGTTTCACTTGCTGACAATGTTTATATTGGCAAGCTAAGTGTTTGTGAGACCATTTAGTGAAGCTGCAGTCAAGTGATATGAAATGGTCTAGTTCATTAAACTCTACTGCTCTTCAAACGAGGGAAGCTGCATCCAAATAACCCACATTGTTCCCAGCAGAGTCCTGAACTGTGCCAGGGAAATGCTTACATGAGTGCTACTTGGCGTTGGCCAAAAATATGTTAGGGACATTTTAACAACTTAACAGCATAGGCATTTCCAGAGAGCTTCCCTGCCACCATTTAGTTTCCTAATACAGATGTAGTTACCAAACAAATGAGAAATGAATTCCTGTAAAATTTTAAATAAATATAATTTTAAAAGTTGGTTTGTTCTTAATTATCTAGGATAGGAATGTTTACTTTTATTTCCTTTCCACATTTCTTTAGGAATTTGCCTGTAATTATACTATATTGTTTAAAAACACAGTGAGAAGGCAGGGATACAGTATAAATTAAAAATAATTATTTTTAAGTAGAAAAATGGTGGGAACTAAAGCAACTATTGTGGAAACACTTTCCTATTTTGAAGATTTACAATTGGTAACCCTTTGCGTAATTTTCACATGAACTTGCCTTAGGTCTCCATGCCATTACATCTCCTTTGTTTCTCTGACACTTTCACCTCCCAATTACCACCTTCTGCTTCACTGAGTAACTCTGACTAGTGACTCAATTTCCAGAACATCTTTGAGATATGAGCAATTCCCTCTCTGTCTTCCTCCAGTCACCTACCTGACCCTGAGCTATTTCTCTGGTGTAGTTCCACCAAGAAATCATTGTGCCTCAACAAACCATATGGCCACAATCAGTTCCACTCCCCATCCCAGCTTATCTTTATTACTGGTGGAGGGCAGGGCAATAATTCCTGTTCTTTGCAGTATCAGACGTTAGGAAGGAGAACCAAGATTCTGTGGATCTTACTCCAACTCCAGGGTCATACCCTCCCTATCTTGCAGTATCTCCTGGTGTTTCTTGATTGTCTTCTATGGAAGAATGTTTTAAGACTTTTTCACTATGAGCAGAAGAATCGCATACTCAGGGAAGGATATCAGAAGGCAAACCAAACTGATTTTATTTTACTGTGCACTAAGCCTGGAGAGCAGCTTGCCATCAAAAATCATATTTAGGCAAGTGGTAAGCTCTTAATAAAACTTATGAGGCTACAGCAGGCCAATTCCTTTTCACATTGGAAAGAGCCCTAGGAAACAACAAAGCATATTTTACTTTTCTAGTGAGGAGGAGGGACTACACTGTCATGCTGACTTAAGAAAGAAATTGGGAGAATACTAAGAAAAATCTATATAAAAGAAAGTGCAAAAAGCCTCGGATCTTGCCACAAGCTGTTCCAGTCTCAAATTAGCGATGCTTCCCTTTTTATTGGTCTCTTAGAATAAATACACCTGGATGACTATCGGGAGAAACAAATACAATTTTTCCTTTTGTGTGTGTGTTATGAAATCCACATCCTAGCATTAGATAAGCACAGATTTTCAACAGTTTGCCTATGATTAGGAAAAAGTATATGAACACTCACAACCTACATTCCTTGCAGTGATTCTCTAAGTGGTGGTGTTTCTTTACCAGTACTTCCGTTACGACTTTCCATTTGCTGTAGTGTGTTTAATTTCATACCTTATAAAACATGAGAAATTTGTATTGTATATCCTGTTTTGCTAGTCTTATGTTGGTCGTTTATTTTGATTACTATCAGCTTTTATTATCTGCTTGGACATGTATTGCATTTGTTACTGTATGGAGATGGAGCCTTACAGAAGCCAAACAGACCGGGCCAGACTCGTCCTTTTGTAACTTGAATTTACACACAGGAATGAATTTGGCCCAATTAATTTTAATTGCTGTCTTGTTTTACTGTAGATTAGAAATAGATTAGATGTCTAAATAAATGGATATCTTTTCTGAGGAATTCATTTAACCCACTCTTTTCAGAGAAAATTACTTTAAAAATTGACCAAACAGTACCTACAAAGCTCTTAACAAAAATACAGTATAAAGAGGAACACAAAAAAACTTAGTGCATATGAAAGAAAGGATAACAAATAGTTTTTAAAAAATCAGTGGCATGTGTCACTGAATATAGTTTTCTGTAAATATGTATTTTCAATCATCCCCCTCACAAAACAAGAGAGGGAGATTGGTAAAATTCATGAAACTTAAATACATTTTATTTAATTACCATGTGGTATTCATTGTGATAAAATATTACTTAGATCAAGATGTTAATAGAAGTAAAAATAAAGTTTGATGCTTACAAAAACAGTTAGAAATCCCCCCTACAGATACATAATTTTAAAGTGGAAGTGAATTCATCGTACTTCAAGATATTAGAACTTCTAATTGATACTGAGGAATTAATTATCCATTATAAGATTACTTGCCTTTTTCTGGGAAGTATGGGGTATTAATCTGTATTAGTTTCACTAATCCAAATTGAAGTCACCACTACTCTGTAGAAGCAGTTGATGCACTTCTGCTTTTTAGCAAGTATGTTGAAATTATTTTATTTAGGTGTGTCAAATACAGAAATCCTCTCTTAATTGTTCTTGCACTATGTCATTTTTAACAATCCCAGAAATGGAATGGATGAGGCTGACTGGCATCTCTGGAGACGGCTTAGTCTAACCCTGCCCTGCTCAAAGCAGGGTCAGTTAGAACCGGTTGCACAGGGCCATGTCCAGGCGAGTTTGGAATATCTCCACATATAGAGACTCCGTAGCTGTCTGTGCAACCTGTTACGGTTTGACCACCCATACAGTAATTTTTTTCCCCTCAAGTTTCAGTGAAATTTCCTGTATTTCACTTTCTGTCAGTGGGCATCACTAAGGGGAGTCTGGCGATATCTTCTTTACTTCCTCCTCTCCAGCCGGTATTTATACACGTTGATAAGATCCCCCCCGAGTCGCCTCTTTTCCAGGCTGAACAGTCCCAGGTCCCTCCACCTCTCCTCACATGTCAGGTGCTCAAATCCCTTGATTGTCATAGTGGCCCTTCACTTTGAACAACAGTGTACTGAAAACCCCCCAATATTTTTGTTTGAGTTTGTACTGCGATATAGCTTTAAAAGTTTTCCTTGTTGATTAAACATGTTATGCTGGAAAGTGTTTAAGACCATAAAAAGAAGGCAGTACTTTTACTAGTGGCTTTACAAAGAAGATTGAGCACTGCGTAATAGATTGCTTCCGCTGTGAAACAGGAGAGAATAAATGTCTATAGGCCTTATTTTCATGACGCGTACACTAGCACGGCTGCCAAAGTTTAAGGAGCTCCTACTGTTACCTGTCTCCGGTCACTTACTCATTTCTGCCCTGTGCTCCTCTATGAAAGTGCTGGGACAGCTGGTTGGGGGGCTGTGATTTAAGCTGTCTAGAATTTTTCAACAGGCCCAGTATTTTATCGCATTGCTGTGACCTAGGAGCGTGATATGCTTGGTGTCATACTACAGGAGGGACAAATAAGCAGCTGGGGCAATGTGGTACAAACCTACAGGCTGCTGAAGCCTCTGCATTGTTCTGAAACTGCAGCCAAAGACATGGGCAGGTACTGAACAGCTGATGTGGGGTGTGTACTGCATTAATCTGCACGAATAACCTACATCAAAGGAATGAGAGAATGCAATGCTGTACTGAGTGGCAGGGGGACAGTATAAGCCACGGCAGCATTAGCATGTTAGGCGATGTTCACAATACAATGGCAGATTAAATACCAAGTTTAAGATTTACAACAATGGAAAACTTGAAACCAGGATTTGAAAACCGTTAATACAGTTCTGCAGACATTTACATGAAAGTTCTCCTAAATAGAAGGGACAGCATATGAAGTGCTTTTTGGTTCATAATCTAACAGACAGGTGAAGGTCTTTGGAATGAGGTGCTATCTGGAAATGGGAACTGATCGTTAGATACAAAATAGACAACAGAGATATTCTGGGAATGATTTTGTATTTATGCCATTATGATAAAAAGCTCTTGGAGAGTTGGTTTATACATGCTATTTACTGTCATTAAGTCGGTGCCTCATCTATGTTTCTAACAGGATCAAAAATTACAGATGCACTTAACAGCAAAAGAGGAGCATCACAAGAAACTGAACGAAGTTGAGAGGTGTTACGCTACTATTGCATGTCAGTTTGGAATTGTAAAAGGTGTTCATGGAAAGCTAGAGCACAGTGGTATGTATGTCAAATGTCCTCCAGCATTTGTTTTTGCTGTGTTTTGACCATACTGAGTTGGAGACACCTGATAATTCAGAAAAGTAGCAGCTACCATATGCCAAGCAGCAAATATACCAACCGAAAACTACTGTCTCTCAGTAGCTTCCTCAGTGTTTCTTTCTGTGACAGTGCCAGGTTAAGCAGCACAGGCCCCATACGTCTTCTGCTCTCTTCTGATACACTACTACAGTTGTGTGTGTGACCACAGGGTAAATTATATTGAGGAACTCATTTGTGTTCAAAACAATCCAGCAGCAGCTTCACCCCTTCCAGAAAAAAAAAACCCTACACTTAATTTGGATCAGCTTCCTGTTCCCATTCAGCATAATCAACATAAACAGTTGTATCAGCTCAAATGAAGGGGTGGAAGTAGAGGAATTGGCAAACAGGGGAAAATGGATGCTATTTAAAGTCAATTTAATGTTGGGAAATGGACAGAAAACATTACTGAAATAGCAAAACTTCCTTTCTTGTACAGAAATATAAAATCTTAAAACCAGTTCAGTAAATAAATAGGGTGGTATGAATAATTTTATGCAGTTGTTATTGTTACATAGATTCTGACTATATGGCTTTATAAATCTGTACCTTATCCCTGTTCATGTTTTGAAACATAACAAAATTATTATTCCATAAATACATAATTTTTAATCTATAAAATAATAAAGCTGGTAACCTCAAGTAATAAAAATACCTCATTTAAATTAAGTTTGTACCTATTAATTTGAGAGAGAGAAATCCTTGTTTCTCATAACAAAGTGATAAATTTCTATGCAAATGTCACAGTGTATGTGTAGAATATGGACTTGTGCATTGTTTTGTCTTCCTGCAGTTTTCATCCATGTAAACACATACAGAGGTCATAAATAAAAATAAGTGTTATTTTTTAAGGAAAGGGAGAAGTAGTTCTATAACCCAAAGCAAACAAGCAAAACCCAAGCAAATAAACAAAACAAAAAACCAAAAAACTTTTCAAATACCGAAGCTTGGAAGTTGGAGGGTTTTTCTGCCTGAAACCAAATAACTTTTCAAATCTAGTCTGAATCAATTGGTAACATGTCTTATGTTTATTTGTGATATTTCAGTACCTCAAGCTACTTTTTTTATTCAAAATTTTTAATAGGCTAATATTAAAAACAAATTAGGAGAAAACATTGCTGTGTTTTCCCTTTACTTACGTTGGACAGGGCTTTTGTATTATGTCAGATACAGAAAAGTCTTTTTGCAATTTCATGGAAAAATAACGTTTACTCCCAGTATTTACACTATTTCAACCATATATAAATGCTTGTTGTCATCTTTCGACTTATATTTATCAGTAATTGCAAAATGAACCCGGAGAAAAGTTTCAATATGTTACCAACTGCTGCTGTTCAAGAAGCTAACCTGTCCACCAGTTCAACGCTGGTGTGTCTTTTACTGCAGAGGGAATTCAATTTGCATTGCAGTATGCAAGACGTGCAGTAGGCATGTAGATAACTTGTAAATTCTGAGCAAGAAACTGCGGTCAGCGGAAAAGTCAGGCAGAAAGCATACGAGCCATTTTTAATGCAAATTATTTAAATTTATAAACTGTTGTTCTTTATCTACTATATTAAAGCAGTGTGTAGGGAAACAAGAAAGTTAAAATTGATGTGGTATAGTGCTGGATGGGGAAAATACCACAATTCATCATAAATCTAAACCTTTAATGACTAACCAATGTCACACTATTAGTATTCTTGAGCTCAAGCATGAACACATGACTCTTGTTGAAAGGTAGAAGGTTTTACCAATTTTTGCCTGCAAACAAGCAACTTGTGTTTTTTTTCTAAGTTGTATCAGAAGATATTTGTTACATTCCTGACTATTTTCATTTGTTAAGCACATATTCTCATATAAAACTTCAAAATTACTTATTATATTGTAAGGCTGTTGTCTGTCATTCCCACAGTGCTTACCATCTTTAACAGAGAAGGAAGGAACTTTCTGGGTGTGATGCAGTGTCTAGGATTCTTGTATTCAAGTGTTGTGCCAGAAGGTTTTTGAGAAAATAAAGAAAAAAGATTAGAAGTGAATGAAGAGGAATCAGGAAATAGAAAAGGCTGAAGAGACTTAAGAAGATCAAAATACTAAAATTGAATAGAGGTGACTGAAAAAGTACAGGGATCAGTGAATATCTTCAGCTTTTCATTATGAAATGTCAAGCCATTTCCTAGTGATATCTTGGTCTGCATAAAGTCCAAGAGGAAATTCCCTTCCCTTTCAAAAGGGACAGAGCTTATTCTTAGCATTTTCCTTTCCATTATCTTCTGCTGTTTGCTGTATCAGGAATAGTGTGGCCAGCAGGAGTAGGGGAGTGATCGTGCCCTTGTACTCGGCACTGGTGAGGCCGCTCCTTGAATCCTGTGTTCAGTTTTGGGCCCCTCACTACAAGAAGGATGCTGAGGTGCTGGAGCGTGTCCAGAGAAGGGCAACGAAGCTGGTGAGGGGTCTGGAGCACAAGTCTTATGAGGAGCGGCTGAGGGAACTGGGGTTGTTTAGTCTGGAGAAGAGGAGGCTGAGAGGAGACCTTATCGCTCTCTACAACTACCTGAAAGGGGGTTGTGGTGACGAGGGTGTTGGCCTCTTCTCCCAAGTAACTAGTGATAGGAAAGAGGAAATGGCCTCAAGTTGCGCCAGGGGAGGTTTAGATTGGATATTAGGAAAAATTTCTTCACTGAGAGGGTGGTCAGGTATTGGAACAGGCTGCCCAGGAAGGTGGTGGAGTCGCCATCTCTGGAAGTGTTCAAGAAACGTGAGGATGTGGCTCTTCAGGACATGGTCTAGGGGACATGGTGGCGCTGGATTAATGGTTGGACTTGATGATCTTGAAGGTCCTTTCCAACGTAGTGTTTCTGTGATTCTGTGATTCTGTGATTCTGATTCTGTATTCCATGTCCTATATGCATATAAGTCTGTGCATCTGTTAAATCAAGTATTTGAATGTTCCATGATTCATTATGTTCTATGTTCCTCTACAAATAATTAAACTGCTCAGAAAATTACAAGCAAAGCGTTAGTCAAAAAACAAAACCAAAATTAAGAGTTACTGCAGAAGTGCTGCTAATAAAGTGACACCAAATGTCACTAAAAATTAAATTACAATTTTTTTCAAAAAAAGTAAACTGACATACATAAAAGTCTTAACTCATTGTTTGAGTTATAGAAAAACTTGTACCACCTGATGTCATCCTCCAGCATAGTATCACACTACATCACACTATAGTGTGTATATCACGCTATACAGAAAGAGTAGTTGAGTTGTATTTTCAGTCTTAGTCTCCTTCCCACAAAGACGTTAAATTATTTTATTAATTATATACACATACATTGCAGTTATAAATCAAATATTAATTAAAATATAAAAGTATATATTAACATGTTTTAACTTTTGTTTAAAGTACAGGAAGCGATACAGCTCAATAAGAAACTAACATCAGTGAATAAACGACAAGAGACCGAAATAAGTAATCTGAAGGAAGTAAGTATAGTATGCATTTCCGAATTGTAAGTGGGATTCTTTTGGGACTTCTACAAGCTGCTGTAGGATTTACAGAAGCAGTGGACAAGCAGCAGACCTGTTCTTCATTCTATGACTAATAGTGAAATTAGTCTTATGCTCCCTTGTTATGCACACATACTTCAGATGGATGCCAATTAAACTTTTAGCAGCTCTGAATAGTTTCTCTAACTTGGGAATTTTTATTTACCTCTACAGGGTCCTACTTGTTTCTTGATAATTATTTGCAATCTCTCTTCTTCCTGTGCTGTGTTGTCATTGCTTCTCCCATCTGCTATGGAAAGGTAGCAGTGGTGGTTTTAGTTTAGTCAGAGAGAGAGAACATGAAGAATAGTGGCCGTAGAAGCAAGCTGGTAGCTTGAATGTAGGATAAAAAGTGTAACTGAATCTCCATCAGAAATGGCAGAGTTTTGTGTCAGGGCAACTGAGACATTAGATAATAGTGGTACTATGGACGAAGAAATTGTCTGGCCATTGAGCTTTTTTCTGCCCTCATCTATTCAGAAACTACCATTTGACAGGTACGTTTCTGAGTTGCAGTCTTGAACTATACATAATAGTGGGAAGAATAAAGTTCTCTTTTTCCCTTTGAGCTGTTTCTTAAGTGCTGACAGGAGAAGAGCATCGGGACGCTCTGAAATCAAAATCATCCTGTAAACTCACTATTTTTCCATACCACATCTTTTTCTTATCTCCTTATCTTTCTATTGCACTTTTTTTTTTCTTCTCCTTTTGATTCTCTGAGGATTTTAGGTAGGGAACAAATGCATGTTTGTTCTTGGCCTAATGCTAATCCCCATCTTTCAGACAAATGCTTTGGACTACTGTGGAATCTTTCCAAAGTTTTTAAATTTCTTGCAAAACAAAAAGGGCTGGTGGTGGGGGAAGATAATTTGTAAATGAGGAGAAGGGACTATGACCATTTTACATTTGGGTTAAACTGATCAAAAATTGGGTGTTTACTGACCAAGACCTTTTTTGCCTGAAAAAGAAAATTTGAAGGTACGGAAGTACTTGAAAACTCTTCCTGAATCTAGTGTTGGTTTGTGTTCTTAAGAGCACACAGCCTTTTATTGTTAAGGTTCTCTGGAGTGTGATGCCTCTAGAAGCCTGACTTAAAATTAAATTTTTTTCTTGAAATAGAGACAGTTTAAGATTTTTTCATGTGTTTCATTCTTACCTTCTGTAGTGCTTTACTTAATTTTTGTATTTACTACATGAAGATATTCTAGCCATAGTAAAGATTAATTATTAATTCAATCTAGATTTGTTTAGTTGCATACTAGAATATAAGATGGCAAACCCCAGTGTCAAAAAGATCACGTTTTGAAGCGACTATTTAATCTCAAAGATTTCAGAACTCCTACTATCATAAAAACAGGCTGAGAGACACAACAGTAAAGCAGAACACTGGAAAAATTCTCAAATTAATTTCTAAATCACAGGTTTTATGGCATTTAGAAATGTTTATTTAGCTATATAGTTCAAATTATAGGTTATATATATTTATATATTACATATAAAACCTATATATATTTATTGGAAATATTTGATGGATGGAAGAGCAACAGAAAAACATTGGAAGTTGTCAGTGGTGATAACTTTCCCCTATAGAAAAGCCAGATTTGTTAGAATGCTAGTATCATCATAGCCATGAAGGTCTGAGGACAACTTTGTCTTGTGTGCATTGGGTACACTTCAACTGTACAGTTCCTTTGCTAAAGGAATTGTAAGTTTTATGTGGCAAAAAGAGGGACATTCATCTAAAATGGGGCATATCTTTATTGTAATACATTGTAAGTATCAAAATTTAGGAGTTCTAGAAATTTTTAAGCATCACAGTAAATTAGATTTGTTGCTTTTGTTTAAGAAACCAAGAATAATTGATTACTTAGAATTCTCTAGGGTAAGTGATTTGGGAAGTAAGAAAAGGAAAATGTTTAAGAAAATTTTACATAGTAAAATTTGTGAGTAACAGAGGTGCGTGAGATAAACTGGTAGTGATTTATGTACTTCAGTAATCAAACATATTGCTTCATCCATTTTTTTGCTGTACTCTTGCTTCTTAAGGTCATGGGTGATGAATTTTAGATAAAATACTGTTAGATAAGCAGAAGGGGCCAACTTGAAACTTAATCGGGCTTTCTTAGTTCACCAGGAATTGTCTTTATCCTGGTTATTTCTGATTTTCTTATTGGTTGTTTAGTATTTGACTATCCCATTCTGAATGTCAGTGGAAAACTGAATTGGACTTTAATTTCTTAGCCTTTTAATATTCACATAGTGCTGCCACACTTTGCTGTGGCAACGCCTTATTCTGCAAAAAAATGTGTGCGTTTATTTATAAATACAGTTTTATTAATAAAAATCATATATAATAGAAAGACATGCCTTTTTCCTCAAAATGCAGAACTTGTGTGAAAACAGAGTTTAAAACTAACAATATAGTAAAAAAAAAACAAACAACCCATTTTCCAATATTTGCTATTTCAACAGTTTACATAACTTTCCAGAAATGTTTTATAAGCAGTGAGAGAGTGCATAGCTGAACTATATCAGTAGTGGTACTTGTCCTGTTTGTGAAGGGCTGTGGGCTCATCTTTTGGGTCACGCTGTAAGAGAAGAGAAGAGAAGCAAAGTGCTTGGACCCAGTACGAGTGCCTGAGCTAGTTTCATGTCATTGTGGTTACCTTGGACTTAGCCTAATCATTGCAAAAGTGATCTTAAAGCAGTCGAGTATTTTCCTTGTTGGGGAATGGATCTGTTGTAGAGCTGAAGGGACCTACAAGAAATACAAAGCAAGGAAAAAACTTTGATATTTAGAAGAGTTTGGAAGAGGGATTACCAGGCTGTTTTCACTTGCTACATAGCTGAAAGAAGTCCTGATATCCACAGCACAAGTTGGGACAACTTATAAAGCTGGTTTTATCTGCCTTGGGGACTTGACTGACCTCTAACAGCTCTGACAACTTGTGGGTTCAAACTTCTTTCCTGTGTAGCCTCAGTGCTGGACTGGGGATGACTAGCCTTAGTACTAAAATCTTAATTTGGCTGTCAGCTCTTATCACAACCATTACTTTGACTCAGACCAGGATGATCTCACACGTTTGCTGTTAATGGGAATATGAAGTTAGTGAATGTTATTCAACATTTATGGATGAAAGTAAACTAGTGAAACTATGAAAATGCTTGCATTGAAATCTGACCAAGAAAAGCAGCAGAATGAAACAAAATTTTAAAAAACAGCTATGCTGCTCACGACCTGAAGGATTACAAGAGTTCCACCGATCTAGGAAGAGAGCAAAAAGATAAAGTTGTGATTTTGGATACACTTAAAGTTTGTGTAAAGTATCAGCACTGACTTGGGAAGTGGTTACATCTGCCTGTGTTGGCTGCTTTTCCAGTCCCATACCACGACTTCATGCGGGCACATGTATTTGTGTGGCCTTGAGGGAAAGTAGAATGAAAATTTTGTATTGATCAAAACAACATCCTACCAAAAAAAGGGAGTAAGTTTTAGCTCATCTCAGCTGGCAAAAGGAAAATACATTTAAGGATCAGTACGATTTCTTTTGTGACACTCTTGACTTACACTGGCTTGAAGTGTTTCTGAAACCGTGTCCCGAAGCGTTGTCTACTAGCAACACATCAAAGGAATGGGTTTAAAGCCTTATCATTCTTTCTTAGCATTCCCCAAAAACCGATAAAATTATTTTCCCAATGCAATTTAACTTATAGCGTTCGGAATACTACTAGTGATCTTATTAATGACAGAAAGCTACTAGAAAAAAAAAGCAAAAACCCTGTGGGTGAAATTTTTTTTTATTTCAGAGTACAAGAAAATATACGTATTTTATGTATAAAATTATTTTACATTATTTTCACAGCTACATAGCTTGTGCTTTCACTCGCCATGGAAAACTCTCCCATTACTTTTGGGGATCTGGTTTGTATTGGTTCTTTTTGGGTTTGTGTTGGGTTTTGGTGGGTGGGTTTTTTTGTGTCGGTTTGGTTTTTTTGGTTTATTGTTTTTTTGGTTTTTTTCCCTGACTACATCTTTGGTAGATTAGCAGATCTGGGTTTGGTTCCAGATGGATTATACACATTCACTTGCTAAATACAAAGAAGAAAATCCAGTCATCTTTTCTACCTCAAGGACATGATTTACTTAGTACAACTTCTTCTTTCTCCATGACAAAATAAGTAGTAAGATTTTTCTGCACACAATAAACTGTGAGTTTTGGAAAAATATAGTATCAGATCTGTAGCAGGCTTTTGCACCTGCTTGTGTAGCACACAACCTGTTAGCTGTGTTCTGTGTACCATTAGTCTAGTGCTCTGTAAAGACTGGCACAGTGCACTTCGTCACTTTTACGAAGTTGAAACTGCTTGCACCTTCTGCCACCTAAATGTAGGCACTATCCTTGCATATTTCATTACAGAGCCTTCTAGTAAAAATAGTACAACTAATAGATGTTGTTATTGCAAAGATGGAAAAAGCCTTACTAGGTTACAGAATATCACAATTCTAAAGCAAATGTTGTCTTTGGGTTCTGTAATTGATTCTGCAATTACACTTAGCACTTACTAGATCATTTTGGATTTATTTATGGCTAAAATACAAGAGAAATAAAGCCTCTAGCAAAAAAAAAAATTATTTATTTTAAAGTAGTACTTATATTTTTTGTAAAATTTTGTATTTGTGAATTTCAGCTACAACATAATCTTCCCTTTTTCATTTGTACTGTTATATGATTTTGTCCAGAACAGTTAAACCATTGGACAGTGATAAGATGGAATTCCAGTTTTGTGAAGAAAAGTTAAACAGACCAAACTTAGTTGTTAGATAAAACTATTACCATTCTGAATGCTTGGTTCACCACTATGGCATCATGAAGAATTCTTGATACTATCTGTGAACAGCATTCATAACCTCTGCTATTTGTCTGAGTAAACGTCAGAGCGCTCAAGGAGAGAGCGATATTAAACAGACTACCTTGTACCAGAATGGGAGGGGTGGGGGAGAACAGGGCACAATATTTATGACTCCAGGAACTATAAGTTGTAATTTAATGAGATCAAAGCATTTGCTGTTTATTTGCTGCACTAGGAGCTTGGAATAAACTGGTTGGAAAAACCAAAAACCAAAAAAAAAAAAAAAAAAAGCAGGATATTTGGAAGATTATAAAGACTTTAAAATCAAAGGCATATTTTAGATGGAAAATCATGTGGTAGAAGCCTTTAATATAAAATTAATTTAGCATTCTCCTGAGATTAAGTAATTAATGTTTCAGGAAAAGCAAAGATCCTCCAAATTTATAGCCAGTTCCTGTTTTTACCAGATAGTCACTGTTCTTCCTTTTTGCCCTTCTGATTCCCAGGAACATACACAGTAGTTATAATAGGTACTTTATTCCTATTGTATATCTCGGTCTAGGACGTTTTACCAATATGAATGCACTGTCCATTTCTCTTTCTTGGAAGAGAAAATAACAAAATGCTTAAGTATCATAAATACTTCAAACAGAGTAAAATTAGCACAATAACATTTTACCTCTGAAAATAAACTTCTAAACTAGTGTGACAAGTTTAAAGTTTAGCAAGTCAGTCTTACAGATTTCAGTTCTTCTAATTTATTCTGTTGTTTCCATACATTATTTAAAAGTAGGGCATGACTCGGGATAGTTTAAAAGATTTGTCTTTGTTTTGAATTGCAATGACTGTACTGGATGAACTATTTATATGTGTTTCCTGTGTTAAGGAACTGAAGAAAGTGACTACAGACTTGATAAGGTCCAAGGTCACATCTCAGTACAGGGTGGGAGAAGAAAACATCAATCTTGCAGCAAAGGAAAAACAGTTTCAAGAACTGCAACAAAAAATCAGAATGGTATTTTGGAATTTAAACAAATTACATTTTTGGTGAATATTTTCTGTTCTTCGTTCAACAAACATCATGGCAGTGATCTCTGATGTATACAGATTAGTGATTCTACTAACTGCATATACAATATGACAAAACTATTTCCTTTTCTAGGGAAGTAAAAATGCTGTGAATATAAGTAAAATTGTATAGTAAAAAATGGAGAAGAATGCTTTTCAAAATAATGCCGTTTCTTTAAATAGCCTCATGATGATTCACAATATCACATTAATACAATATTACTAAAGAAAATAGTAACTTTAAATGCCTTTTACTGTGATTCATGCTCTTATTTTTAAGGAGACAGCAGTTAGTAAAAAAGTTCAAGAAGAAAACACTCACATTAAAGAAGAAAAGCTGGTGAGTTGTTAATACAACTTTGCTATTTAAAAATAACTTAAGAATATATGTGTTGTATTTTATACTTAAGTTTCTTAAATGATTATAGTAAGCTATTAAAACTAATTAAATTCACTTGTTTGCTTTTCAGAAATATTTTAATACTAACATGAATAGGATCTTATTTCTCAGTTTTTAGAAAGTGTATTAGCAAAGAAAAGCACATTGTTTGACATTTTATTCCAGCTCTTAACTTTTGTCTTTGAATTCAGATGGGAGAAACTTGTATACCCATGAAATAGATGTTTACATATTGATTCAGTATAAATAAGCAATAAGGTTTGCATAACGTGCTTGCTGTTCTGCTTTCTGGTTGCCAAGAGTTTACTTGTAATACTGCTGGTGCTGAAACTAGGTAAAATTGGAATCTTGTCGATCATATACAAGGGAAATGGTGTTCTGTTCATACAGAACATACACATTTAGAATACTAAGCTACACCTATACATAGCTGAGCAGAGTTAAGACTGTGTTCTATTGCAAACTCAGGTGTTCCAGAACAAATCCTGATATTCAAACCAAGGTACATGGAGTGAAGTATCAAACCTAGCAAAAAAAATTATGTTCCCTGTAATAACAGCATAATACGCTGCTTTGCAGAATATTAAGCTTAAAAAGGACGGGATTTTTTTTTTCTTAAACAGCTGCAGAATTTTCATTCTGTTGTTCATTAAACCGAACGTGTCAGAGAGGTCTCTCATTCTTGTTCTCAGGGAGGGACAAAAGCAGTAGCTTACTTGTATACCCACTGAGCACACACTGAAGGCCAATCCAGCAGTATTCTTCCAATCCATAAAAGTCCGTTTGCGTTTTGAGTTTGCTTTTTAAAAATACTTTCCAATAAACATGGGGAAAAAATGAGAGACATTACTCCCACAGCCCTGAATGCACTAATAAGCATTTATATGGAGATGCTTGTAGCATAATTCTTATGTGTATTTGATATGTATTATCTAAGAGAAGGACTCCATTTTGTTTCTATATTTTGTTCTGTGTGAATTGCTAGGGTTTGGTTGGTTGGTTTTGGTATAAATCAGGGGAGGACTCTAACATAGAGATGAACTATGTTTTCTCCAAAAACTTGGGTTAGAAGATCTGGATTTCTGTATTATAGAGCACTACAAATTCACTGTGTGGATTAACTGAAGATGTTGGCTTCAGTGGTTCTTGGACAGGGGCTGAATATAATCTGTTACAGCTGATTTACACTGAACTGTGTGCAGAGAAGCAATCTTGTCTAGCTGAGTGCATACTGTACTATATTTAAAAGACATGGCCAACTCTGCTACCGACCTGTCAGATGACACTGGGCAAGCCATTCCACATCTCTGTGGTTCAGTTTTCTAGATGTAAAACTGAACTAAAGATAAATTAAGCTTCAGTGCAAAAATATTTATCTCTGCATAAGAATATATATGCATGAAAAGGAGTGACAGTACACCCAAAATAATGATTTTCTTTTTAGTAGATAGCTGTATCTGTGTATACAATAGAACCAAAAATAGATACATTTGGAAGCTCTTTGCAAGTATATGAAAGTACTTTGTTTTAATAATACATTCCTCTCAATATATTTTCAAGCAACTGAAGCGCATTTAAGACTGTCTTCTGCCTGAAACTCGTTTTTTTTCCTGTGCAGGTCTTCTTTTAGGAACTGCTGTTCTGGTCATTAGGGAGCAGAGATTGGCTTGGCTAGATCATTCCCTCTGTCGTTGAATCTTTGGAAGCGTGTTTTGTAGCATTTAATATAAAATGACTCTCTGTCTCCATTCCGTCCATGTTTTCAGCTAACTGCAACAAATTTAATGGCAGCACCCATGGGTTTGTCAATCTATACCACCTTAATCAACCCATTTTGGGTGGCTCTTTTTTTAGAACTTACTCTTCTTGAAGTACCAGTATAGTCTTGATGAAGGTACCACAGAAATTCAGATAGTGACGGCAAAATCTGGTGTACTTGCACCATAAGATGCAAAGCTAATGTGTGGTTGTTCACATCTATTAGGGTTTAATTCAGGAAATACAGAATAATGTCATGTGAGGGTCATCCATTAATGGAAGTGACTACTTGACTGTCATATAATTTTTCTGAGATTGTCCATATTTTCCAGGGGTGTAATATGGTACCATAAAATTATTCTCTTAGATTAACTGAACTCACAGTGGGGTTGGATTTTATATATTTTATTCAGATTTGCACTGAAGTATGTTTAAAGTATCAATGGATTGTTCATTTTAATTATAAGAAAATTCTCTGAAAAAGAATAAGTTATAGTAAGTTATAATCATGTTATCTTCTCTAAGGCAAGAGGCCAGAAAAACCTGGAGTTGTTCTGATTTCTTCCTACAAGCCCTTCCCCAATGTTGGTGTTCGAGTACATTTTTATATACGTAATTTTGTAAACACTGGCAGAATGAAAAATACATATGTTAATCTAAAAGACATAAATTACCTAATGTTTAAACTTCAGAAACAAGCTCTCATGCAATATATCTGATTTTTTTTGTATTAATAAGGAAATTCTCAGCTCTCTACAATGTGTGCAGGAGCTGCTTCAGCGAATAACCCAAACGAATGTTAGAATGGAAAGTGAATTAAATGCACTGAAAGAAGAATATCAGGTCAGATTTTTCTTGATTAGACAAGCTGCTACTATCTGCTATGTATTTTTTAAGTCCAGGGCTGTTAAAGACATCTGTATGCTTTTCAGAACTTTTGACCTCACTTCCATTGCTCCCTCAGCTCCTTAACTGTCAGTGTGAACCTTGAAGTGCAGTCTATGGTTTCCCTCTTTTAGTTCTCCCCCTAAAGTAAATCATGGTTGCCGTTCTTATCAGCATTTATGGAGGGTAAAACCAGAACATGTTGCGGGTTGCTTTCGAGTATTTTTGAAATAAAATTATTTTATTACTTTTTCTTATAATTTTTATGTGGGTATAAATTTCTTTTCTGGAAAATACTTCAAATTTCAGATCTTCATAGACAGAGCTTGTCCCCAGTTTTATTAGCGCAGAGGGCCTAAGAAAGAGCACATCCTTGGCCTTAGCCATTTCTTGCTGTGTTGTCTGGTGTCATATTTCTGCTAGAGGTGGTAAGTAGTCAGGCTAGAGTGTGGAGCTGCAGCATTCATCAGTTCCTCTTTGAGAGTGTAAAAGTGGCTCAGAACAGATTAGATTCTAAATTACACTAGCAGTCAGATTGGCCCACAGTGCACTAAAGATTAAGGTCATATCTGTTCAGGTCAGATGTGCCATGCAGACTTCAGGTAACAACCATTAATCGGACTATTAATAATTATTATCTACTATTTGTCCATATGTAATCACAACTATTCTATTCTTTGCTTGGCCTGTGAGGCCAAGGTTTTGAACTAGGATCTCAGTTAATTTCAAATTCAACTTCCTGTGTGCATGTGTACTTTTTTTTCTAAGTAAATGCTTCTATGCTAAATTGAAATTCGATTCATCTCACATAAGCCTTTACTTTGTCTTTTGATAGATGTAAGCAGTTTGCCTTCCACCACAATATAAATATATGAATTTTGCATTTTGATGAAGCAAGGTTAAAGACGAGTTATGTTCTCTGTCAGAAACTAGCTAAAATTTCACTAGGGATTGTGAAAGTGACTACTGCTTTGTAGTACTGGATAAAGCTGTAGTGACTGGAAGAGAAAGACACGTCAGTGATTTCAGGTGTCTGGGTTCCTGTATTTATTAGTCTAGAGCATTGGATTTTCCTGACTTAAAATTCTTTTATTTTGGATTCTAAAAATTCTAAAAGTGCTTTTTTTCTGATAGTATTTCTGAGCTATTGTTTCCCATCTTGGATAAAGTTTATAGTATGCCTTAAAGCTCCAGCTAAAACTGTGAAGGGTATCTGTGAATCTTATCTTTGAAGACTCAACATAAATGTCTACAAGTGTTAGAAAAGTATAGCTTGTTTTCTTGTTAAGGTATGAATTGACCACAAGTCTCTCTTTTGTAGCCTGTAGAGGCCAACAATTGATTTTTGATTGCAATTATACTAACTTTGATTAGAGAGACTGCTTTGATTTGGGTCCTGTTTATATTGGACATTGGGAAGGTATTAAATGTTTTCTATTTTTCTAACTACAGGACAAGCTATTTCTAGTCATCAAAGCTTCAGTGTAGTCTTCAAAGGTAATTTCTTGCAGGCATAAGTACTTTAGATGAAATTGGTGTTACAAGACATGGATAACTAACAAGAGGCTTTTGATTCAAACTTTGAATGCTCTGTTGGCTGTATGAGGACTCCTCAAGACTTAGTTTGATGCAAATGATCCTTCTTAGTCTTCCCAGTGGCACTTAAGATCAGCTAAGATTTGATCTCAGTTTTTGTGAGAGCATTCTGTGCATTCTTAAAACCAAGATGTTTTCACTTAAGAATGGGAATTAAAGGATTCATAACACTTATATAAGCACATATAAGTGATAAGCTTTCAAGAAATCACATCTGGAAATGTAAAAGTGGCTAGATATTTTAATAGATCTATTTTTTTGTAAACCAAATAAATACATGCATGAAAGGCAGCAATTCCCTTAAACAGCATGATGCAAACACAATGCTATATTAAAAGTGAATGTCATGTTCCTTTTCTCTCCATATGAACTCATGGGGTTATTTTGATTTGTCAGAAATGTCTGTCTTTCTGTTTAAACAGTAGTCATAAAATACTGTTGCTTTTTATAGCTGCTTGCTTGGCTGACATTGATACAATTACCAGGATATTCCAGGGAATGAGACAACATTAACTACTTTTATTGCAGTGTCATTTTTTTAAAGCAAAAAATGGAACTTCTAAGATAGGGAGCTGAATATATTACTTGAAGGGTCTACCCACTTTCCTGTCAATTTGAGACGTATTGCTTTCATCCTTATTGATTCTAGAACTGCAATATGATGAAGGTTATCTATTATTCTTATGCTTTATCCTACATCCCTGTCAAATTTGTGGACCTTGCGCATCAAGAAAAAGTTTCTTCAGAATAATAGAAAAATGAAAGGAGTTATTGTAGAGTCCCATAGAAATATTTTTCTTATATTCACAAAAAATGACAGTTTATTTTTGGGCTTGATATGACAGAATACTTAAACTTGCAAGGTAGCATTCAAGAAGGATCGTACTGTCCTTTCTCATTTTATCTATGCATACTTAGTGCTAGGATACCAATGTCCTTATGAGTTCAGAAAAACAAGTTATAATTCTTTAACGGATGACAGAATACTTGAGAATGCACAGAATTCGGGTATTCCCCTCTCTGTACAATTGGTTTTAACATATGATCAGTTCTATTAATCTGCTACTCCTGATGTGTTGCCCTAAGAGCTATGCTGTGAATAACTATTATATTCCATCTTGGAGGAGGTTGCATTTAAGATGCAAGTAAAAGCATCCTTGGAGTTAGAGCAGGTTTATCAAAGAAAGGAGGTCTTGGACTCTTAGTTTATAGATGAATGGTGCTACATCAGAGTGCAATTATTCAGACAATGTATTGTTGAATTGTCTCATTTTTTAACTATATAATGTCAGAGAAGATCCATTATATTCTTATGCACAACTTTTTCCATGTGTATAAAAATTCATGGTAGTCTGAATTTTCCTGGTGTTAATACCTGTAAAATATATTTGTATTAATAGTGTAGCTAAATTAACATAGGCATTGTAAAATTGATGCTATTGAATCAAGAAGTAGACTCATTTTTAGTTAAAAGATTAAGTAAAAAGGAATTGCTTTGGAGTATTGCTTCCATAACTTAACTTTTTTCAAGTGGACTTTCAAAGAAGCTCAGCAGAATCATAAATATGTGGCTGGTCATAGAGCTACATGCATTAAAGTTATGTTTATCAAATATATTTGTGTCACCTATATAGTAGATAGTGGATGCAATAAATCCTTTCTCTTCCATATTGTTTGCTATAAAAATGTGATAGGATAAAATTTCCAACAGTACCTGAGATGTGTGTGAAGTTACTGCTGATTTACACAAGACTGCTTTAATTTAGCACAGTAAAGCTGAGTTAACCCAAAAATGTTGCAAGTACAATTATGATAGTATAAAACTTAATATTACTGTTATTTTAATGCACTCCTATTTCAGTGATCTAATAAAAATAAATTAAAGGATAATCAGATGTATACTTCATGTGCCAGTAGATATGTTTTAGAATTTAAAGTTTATGCAATTTATAAGTTAGGTTATTAAACAACTTAGGATAGAAAAACTGATAAGAAAAATAAAAATATTTTCTTTGACTTTACAGTAGTTTTTTCTTTAAGTACAATGGGTCTAGATTGTGCTACATTTCATATTTCTCATCTCTGGACTTTACATTACTTTTTCAGCACATTAAAACTTATGCAGTGAAACTGAATAATGGCAAGTGTTTTTATACCCTTTTATAGCCATTCTTTTTTCATAACCTCCCCCTGTTTCCTGTTAGCTAAACTATAAGCACCTTTCTGTTAATTTATGAAAATTATTGTTGAGATAGCACATTATCACTGATCTGTATGGTACTTCCAGCATGTTAGAAGCAAAGGTCCAAGCAACATAAAACACATCAAAATTCATTAATGTGGTATTGATTATTTTTTGGATAATTAATTTTATTGCAGACCCTTGAAAGAGATAATGAGCTGCAAAGGGAGAAGGCAAAGGAAAATGAAGAAAAGTTCCTTAATCTTCAGAATGAGCATGAGAAAGCACTAAGAACTTGGAAAAAAGATGTAGGTTTATTAAATTAAATGTTAGAGTATTAAAAGGTTTTTTGAAATGGTCATCAAGCATTTCACGTAATTCCCAAAAGCCAAGAAAATGTTGCAGAAATAACACAATAAAAACAACCACTTTCTTTCCAGTAGTGGAAACTCTTCTAGAAATGAGTATTTTTAAAAGGTAGGTTTAGGAGAAGTGTTAACTTCTGTGCTCTAAAAGGTCATTGCATCTCCTGCAGTTCTGTAAAGCAAGAGCCAGGGTATTAGGTGTTACCTTGAATTTAGCACTTACATATTCCAGAATTACACACTTACCATTACCTAGACATGAAAGCTGATACAGTTTTAAATTTGTATTGAATTTTATGTATTTTTCAGGAAACTTGCAATTTTTTACACAACTAGGCTGTGTTCTTGTACCCTGAAAAAAAAAAAAATCAGTAAATTGTCACATAGTAAAAAATGAATGTAAACCCACATAGACTGAAGTGACAAGGACTAACAGTACTTCTGAAGGGCCGTATGCCCAGGAGAAAAAAAAGCAACTTCAGACTGAATCAGGTAGAGCTGCTGAAGGGTTGCATTAAAGTAGAGGTCCTGATTTGACAGGAGTTATTCAATGTGGACTGTGGGGTGATAGGGGATAAGAAAAGGTAAAAATCCCTATCTTCTCTCAGTGAATTCACCTCTGTGTACACCTAAACAATAATTTGTCATCACTATTTGCCATTCTTTCTACTACTTCATTACTTTTAAAGAATATTTCAGTAATTATTTTGCTAATTATTTTGGATTAAATATTGTAGCTGTAAAAATTGCCTGCAATAATAAATGCATGTTTACAAGTAAGATTAATACTTCTTCAATAAGACAAGATCTCTTTAGCATGTGGAAAACAGACTCTAAGCAGCATTTGTTTAATAGTCTGTCTTTTTTATTCCTACATAATTGGCACATGCTGCCAGAAAGGTTTTGAATTTGGTAGATAGATTCTCAGTGAGGCCATGAGGAAATAATGCAAAGCTGTCTAAGGCTAACTTGAGTTAGCCACTCAAAAGTCATGGAGATGACTGCCGACCCCGAGACTACAAAATAGCTGAACTGTTCTGATGCTCACTGCCCTGAGAAGATTTGATCTCCCTAATTCCTCGGAGCATTTTACATGATAGTTTACTATGTAGACATGGGAATTGGCCCTGCTTATTTCTCAGGAATGTTTTCATCTATTATGTAAAAGATAGTATCTTTTTTTCACCGCCCCGCTCTGGCTTTTAATATCTTAAAGTATAGCGTCATCATGGACAATGTTAACATTATACACTTCTCTGGAAATATTTGTAAATTAAATTAAGGTATTTCTGTAAAATTGCCCTTCTGTTCATTTTACAACTTGTATTTTTGACCATCCTTTTTGTTCTAAGTACAAAAATTTAACTGTTACATACTCAGTGAAGAAACATTGGATACTTGAGGCTATTTACAGAAGTGCCAAGCAAATTATTTGCTGCTGTTGTTGTTTCCTGACAGTGTAGGTGGAGAATGAATGTTGACTAGCATGTTTATTTTTGAGCCAAAAAGGGAAGAAAGCTACAAATACAAATACCAGGTTTTTGTGCATTGCTACTTAAAGTAAATGGTGAAAAAAAATAATTAATAAAAGATATTCTCTGTAATGGAAATGTGGTTAAAATTTTCATTTTAATGAAAAAGCTCAAATTTATCTTACGTTGTACAAAGAAATTCCTTAGCACCTATACTTTCTTTTAAGGATTTACTTTCATTTGCTAAGCTGTTGATACCCCTGTAAAATACTGGTTTACATATTTGGACGTGCAGTAAAGATCTGTTTTTGTGTGCTCCGTGTACCCTCAATTATTACAGGAGGAAAAAATGAGAAGAGAAATAGACATTATTAAAAATGAGCTGAATTCCCTTAAAGGTGTTCATAGACATCCTGAAGATTATCATCCTCAGGGAAATCATCATTCTGAGCAAGTGGAAAATCTGCAGGTAAGTGTCTCTAATAGCTGCAGGACTTCCCATTTCTTGTAAAAACATTAGAGAATGAGAGACGTGACAATTTTTCTAATCTGACTGTCATGTCCACTGATCTTCTTTTGACATTGCTAAACGTAAAAATTTACCTGATGTAATCAATGATCCAAGAACCTGTTAAAACTTACTATACCCAGAGAACGTTCCCCTTTTATCCAGAGGAGCACTTATATCATAGAAACTTGAGATGTTACATCATGGCCCCTCACTACAAGAAGGATGTTGAGGTGCTGGAGCGTGTCCAGAGAAGGGCAACGAAGCTGGTGAGGGGTCTGGAGCACAAGTCTTATGAGGAGCGGCTGAGGGAACTGGGGTTGTTTAGTCTGGAGAAGAGGAGGCTGAGAGGAGACCTTATCGCTTTATACAGCTACCTGAAAGGGGGTTGTGGCAACGAGGGTGTTGGTCTCTTCTCCCAAGTAACTAGCGATAGGACAAGAGGAAATGGCTTCAAGTTGCGCCAGGGGAGGTTTAGATTGGATATTAGGAAAAATTTCTTCACTGAGAGGGTGGTCAGGTATTGGAACAGGCTGCCCAGGGAGGTGGTGGAGTCGCCATCTCTGGAAGTGTTCAAGAAACGTGTGGATGTGGTGCTTCAGGACATAGTCTAGGGGACATGGTGGCGCTGGATTAATGGTTGGACTTGATGATCTTGAAGGTCCTTTCCAACCTAGTGTTTCTGTGATTCTGTGATTAATAAATCTATACATAATAGGTAGCAGTTACCTTAAATAATTTATCTTTACTAAACCCTATTTCACAAACATTTTGCATGGGTGTTTCTCAAATACTGTGGCAGACCCATTAACTTCATATGTGTATAAGTTCCCTGTAAGTGTGGAAGTAAGTCCACTTCTACTCAGAGGAAATAAGTTCAGCCTCTGTAACATGGGACAGATAAGATTCATTTTAACAACATATAGATTATCTAAGTTCTTCAGTTTTAGTTAAAAAAAAACACCAACACTTTATTTCACTTCAAATAATAGAATTGTTTAGGTTGGAAAAGTCCTTTAAGATCATTAAGTCCAGCCGTTAACATAGCACTGCCAAGCCCACCACCAAACCATGACCCTAGGCACCACATCTACACAGTTTTAAATACCTCCAGGGATGGCGACTCCACCACCTCCCTGGGCCGCCTGTTCCAATGCCTGACCACCCTCTCAGTGAAGAAATTCTTCCTAATATCCAATCTAAACCTCCCCTGGCGCAACTTGAAGCCATTTCCTCTTGTCCTATCACTAGTTACTTGGGAGAAGAGGCCAACACCCT